TCCTTAACTTTTTTCATATAGTTAAAATCTGGTGACAAACGGAAGCCAAGATTAATTGACAAATACAATAAATATTTTTCAAGAACAATCATAATAATAATGGTGATAAAGGAGGCGAAGAAAATCTTTAAATGGAGGAACTTTTGATTCTGAGCAAAAAATTCATGTTCGATTAACTGGAACACATGTAGAATTAATCTGAATAACAATAATTAATGGTATCCTATTGGGGGGCAAAAATTTTGAATGAAGAGATTCAAGTACTTGCACATTCATTAATGTAATTTGAATAGTGGTTTCTTTGTGATAATTGTGACAATACAATAAATACAATGTATAATTATATATATATATATAATTGTGACAATACAATAAATACAAATACAATAAATATTTTTCAAGAACAATCATAATAATAATGGTGATAAAGGAGGCGAAGAAAATCTTTAAATGGAGGAACTTTTGATTCTGAGCAAAAAATTCATGTTCGATTAACTGGAACACATGTAGAATTAATCTGAATAACAATAATTAATGGTATCCTATTAATTATTTAATCTGAATGGAAGACAAATATTCTGAATGAAGAGATCCAGGTGCTTGCACATTCATCAATGTAATTTAAATAGTGGTTTCTTCATGATAATTGTGACAAATAAAAGGAGAGACTTTTGACTGAAGAGATTATGCAGAAACTTAATGCCTGATTAAGTACAAAAGATAGTATAAAAGATAGTCTGAACATAGCGTAATGGTATTCGATGGCTGCAATTGAAAATAAGAGGAACAATGATCTTGTTAGGACTTACCCAACATGTGACATGCTAGCACCACGCTTCTGCGTCATCTTGTTCGGGTCACTCCCTGAAATAACTAGAAATAGTAAAGATCTGGTCATGGTACTACGATTTTATAAACAAGAGATAACATTTAAATTGTTTTACAGTAACTTCAATGCCAGTCATATGAATATATCTACTACTACATGTACATTTATTTTCTGTGCTAGTCTGTCATTCAAATCTTAGCAACGGTTATTAAACTTTGAACGTACATATCTGTAAGGGATTTATACACGTTAGAATCTACAAAATCGAAAGAGTGAAAAGAATTGTGACAAGTTTCATTGATTTCTAATTATGCTTCGCTTTTACACATCAAAATTACATATGCAGTTCTGCACAAGCCCCCTCTCATCAAGATCATTATTCAAATATAGAGCGAAGAAAATGGAGATTCGTGCTGTGTCAGAGCAATGATAGATTTCGCGTTTTAAGCACGGTAAATCGTCCAGAAAACAATTCCCGCTTTACGATGGAAAAGCAGCCCCACTTGAGAAAGAGAATGCTTAAAAATTCACCTAAACATCGTCGATTCAAAACTCTTCGAAACGTCGCGAGTTCACAGAGGAACCTCCGTTCGAAAACGAGGACGACTTTCGGGAGGAACTTTCTAACGAGATGCTCGCGCGTTGATCGAACTGGCTAAAACGAGAAAATACTTTTCAATGTCAAACATAACTTCGACACTTACCTGGTATGGAATGGGCGATCGTGGATACAGTGAACATTCAGACAAAATTTGATCGTTACACCGTGAAACACAAAAAAGAATGTGACAGTCGATCGGACGTACACGCGAACACCTCGCGGCTAATTCACTTTACTCAACATCAAAACTGGGTGTTTACACTCGGCAGCCGCGCCATTTTGAAGTTTTACTCGGAATTTTATTTTTCCACGAGCCTCCAGTCACGAGAAATCGCCTCGATTGCAGCGCGATCTGTTAGCCAAATTGCGAAAACATTCCGCGTCGGAACGTGCACATATATATAAGTCCATACGCACGTTTGCGCGAATATAACCAATTGATCTTTCTATATAAGTACGTGCAGATTTTCAAATTGAAAATCACGTCAACCATGCGTCCCATAATATTTTATCGCTTTCTGTAAAATTTTGTTCGTGGCAGGGTTGTAAGAACAAACCATTACTTGCATTGATCGATTCTTGGCCATTATTCACGAGCATTTGGAAATGCTCGATTAAGGGCGATAATTGAGACAGTTAATATCTTCGGATGTTAAATGAACTAATTGGAACGATAATTAACGGGAAAATATTTTTTTCAGACGTTAATTGCTAAAAGGTTGTACAATTAAAGTGGTCTGGTAGCGCCACCTATGAGTGGTTTTCATTGTTAAATCATCGAAAGCACTGTCAAGACGCAATGTCGAATACGCTTTTAGATTTTTTGACGGATATTGTCAATTGGTTTTTTTTTCACTTTTAGACTCTGAAACAGGCCCTTATTGACGAATTATAATTAGGTGCAATGCATACACTTGATTTATAAAATGTTAATGATAGAATTTACCAGACTGATTGTGTCGTTCTTATGTATATATAAACAGTAGTGTAATGTTGACACATGAATTTTTAGCTAATTGATAGAATTTTCGTTATTAGTAAATTTTACAAGTAACATTCTTGAACTTTCAAGAGACAACAGACTCGAATTAGATTTTCGTATTAACACAATATACAAATTGCGATGATTCAAATTGTAGAAATCAAATTTCGCGCCTGATGCATTAGAACGTATCCGCAATGACATATTTATCAAGGCAAATATACATACAACGTCTTAAAATACCTAAAAATATTCCAAACCTACTTCTTTATAATACTTCTTGTTGCTAGTAATTGAAACTCTAAAAAGCAAAGAAAGAAAAAGAATAAATAAATAATTCGACTCAAATTTTCTATTACACTTTCTTGTTAGAATATTTATAGACTAAATGATCATTCTTACGTGTATATTATTGTCGAGATTTTCGTCACATCATAAATTAATATTTGACGATACTACACAGATACAATGTGACAAAAATTTGAAAAACTTGGATCAACCAGCCAATGATATCGTTTTCATATGAACAGCTCATCGCAATTCGAAATAAGACGCCGTAGCGCCGGTATATCTGTATCTAGCCTGTATCTACTACGCAACTTCCGCTAACTCGCTGCTGAGCAAAATGGACGCCTTTGTGTCTGTTTTCCTCATATTCACACTATAAATACTGTTTTCCCTGCGATGCACCACCTTTGACATGGCGATGTTTACGCGGTGTTGCGAGAAACGTAAGTGAAAGTCGTGACGTGCCGCGAATCGAAGTGCATTCCTTGGTGATCGACGAGAAAACGCGTCCAACCAAATAGGCCAGAACCACGGATGACAATTGAGTGAATATCTCTGACGACGGAAACTTTTTCGAGCAGACCCGCACGAACTGGGACGTTGTTTTGGCGGACATGTAAATATCGACGGGCCCCGCACGTCGAGCAACACTGGAATCTTGGATATCGATACGCCTCCCGCCAAAATTCCACTCGCTGCTCGCATTCTGCAGTATAAATAATCGGTTGCGGACAGCTAGGTAATGCAATTGACACAAAACTTCCACCGATGTTTGTTTTCATCCGTCAAATGACATACAACCGATGCTGTTACCACTACTGACCATGGCAATTCTATTATTTAGCAGAATTGAGCACACTTGGGAGGTTTCCAGCCTGTAGCATCCTCCTTAAGGCCATGTTATCATATATATGATGTTGGATGGTAGATACTCGACAACTGGAGGTAATAATAACAACTTTATGTGGTGATAGTGAGCCAACCGTTCTATGTTAGATGAACACTTTCTGTAAAATTGTTTGGACAACGCAAAT